ACACACACACACACACACACACACACACACACACACACACACACACAAACATTATTTCAACTTTTGTCAGCAATAGAAACTGTGCCCTGGCAAATTTTACAGCTCCTCCTGGAAAAGCAAACATTTATCATTGTACTTCATTTTACTTTAATATTTAATTTAGGAACAATCAGGTAAAACCACTAGAAGTTGACTCATTTGTACAGCAGTTCATACGTCATTGCCAACAAACAGCAAGTTATGTTAACTAAAGCCTTTTCTGAAAAGAACCAGCGAAATCAGCAAATTAAAATATTACAGAAAATATTGTGAATGAATTGCATCACATTCCAAGTGAAACTGAACCTGTGCCTGTTGAGATGGCTCATGCATGTTTCATGGTAAGTAGCTCAACTCTCCATGCTTTAAGTCGTCCCTTGGCACAAATAAAACTCCTCTTTCTATGGATTACTTCATTAATGTATACGAGTCGATGTTTTTCAATGAGCACAAACCTCCGCTGTAAATCAGGGACCATAAAACTGCTTCTCAGTGAAGGACAAAGAGATTTTCAACCATTTTCGATAACGCTCCCTTAAAAAATAAATCTCATTTTATATTGTAATCCTTTCGGAGTAGATCGTGTTGTAGCTTGAAAAACACGAGTGGTAGTTTTTTATTTTAAAACTGTGTCACAGAATAACTGATGAAACTAAAGTAAATGAATTCATGCCGACTTTGAACCAGTTTAAATCTGATGAAACAAATTTCTACCTTTACTTTTTAAGTCTATTAAAGCAAGGGTTTTCAAACTTTTGGGGTTCAGGGACCCCCTCAAAACACTCATGCTTATTAAATAATTTTCTTCAATTTGTCTATTTAATGCAATGGAAATATTTGTGTAACATAAATACTTAACACCTGTTCATTAATAATGCTAATACAATTTTTATACTTTTAAACATGGAGTATTTACCATTCAAGACACAAAACATTTTTAATTTACACTTCCAAAAATTACAGTTTTGAGAAAATTAACAGCATCAAAATTCATTTAAATCTTTATCTATTCACTTAATGAACATAAACGTATTG